ATTGTATGAAAAGAAATCAGAAATATTCATTCTTAAAAATGAAAATGGCCCATTTAAAAAGGCATTTTGGGTCCAAACAAAACTATAAAATACCTAGAAAACTAAACGGCAGCCATAAATTAGAGGGAAGGAAAATGTCGCATTGCAATTGGTGGATGAGGAAGATGATTTTGTAAAAATTGATAGCAAAGAGGAAGATGATGGGAAAATTAGATATGATGAAAATTCCATTAACGATGCCAGTAATAGTGATGATAGTGCGGACTATTAGACTTTTTTTTTAGTTTAAGCTGCTTCTTTTTTCCATTACAAACGGAATGATTTCTAACTTCTGTAATGCTTTTTTTTTTAACTAAAACTCTTCTTTTTTTTAGATGGACTATATGTCAATATGCTAATGGTTATATATCCTATTTACTATGTGTTTAAACTTTGGTCTTTTTGTATTTTTGAATTATTTCATAATTCTTTTACTTAGATTTTTTTTATTTTTTGTGAGGCTTACGCCTCAATCTGCCTCCAGGCTTACGCCTCGCCTCATAAAGAAAAACCGTCTCAGTACCTAGTTTCGCATTTTTAAACCTTGCCGTCAACCCAGATTTTTACCAATTAGCGTAAAGTAACCACATCCTACATCAGAAAGCACACGAGGTTTCAGTGGGCATCTTAGAAGCCTAGCATTAATTTCCAAGGATCTAGGGTTAGACTCTCTTCGACTGCGGCTCACACTTGTTATTCTCTCTTAGCTTAGCTTATCTTTCATTCTATTTTATATTGAGTTCTACGTCACATTGGCTATCAAGTGACATAATAATATAAACTACATCTGCATTTATTGACAGCTCTATGAGTCAAATTCTCATCAGTACAGGCCAAGGGAATGCCCCCTGGCATTTGATATCTATATAAAGGACACAATGAGCATAAATACCCTCTTTAGCTTCTATCCTTATGCATTGAATATCTTCTAAAGGATCTAAAGAATATGTGATGATTTTTTCCAGGAAATTCCCAATGACAAATATGCACTATCCTTTCCTTCATCGAATCGATGATAACCACCACTTACATTCTAGGAAATTTACATCGCAAATAGGAACTAATAAAGAGACCCACGATCCCATAGAAAGACATCCTCGAGGAAAAAAATGATTTGACAAGATGGAAAAAAGATATCGAACTTCTACCAATATAACAAAAGTTCCAACCTAAGAATCCTAATGAACCTTAGAAAAGGATAAGAGGGCCCAACAGAGATTACTTAGTTTTCAAGACCTTGTTTTAAGGTCAGGTCACATCAAGCTCTTTGCAGCATTTGGCAAACGGTATACGGATACAGAAGACGTAAGCCAATTAGAGAGATCAATATATTTGGAAAAGATATCAAGACATTTCTGAATATATATCAAAGAAACTTCCCCTCAAAAACATATAAGAGAAGCTTCCTCTTATGTAACAAAATAACAAGAATAAGATCCAAGAAACACAAAAATATATGTTTCTCAAGATATACCTGTAAAATAACATCTATAGAATCTTTTGTTCTTTCACTGAGTAACTGAAAATGCTCAGAATAACTATTGAACACCTATTGCAACAGCTGGAACCAAAATCATACAAGACAAAGAGACAATACACTCCGCTTAAACTAAACATCCACGGTTGAACTGGCTGGAGTTTGCAGTGAGAGTGAAGAAGTCACTATTTGATATACCTTCAAATTTTTATCGTCATAACCCTCCGGTCTGAGAGCACCTCAGGCCTCACAGAACAACTTCCCGCTGTCAGGGAGAATGGTTCTTTCTCTCCCCAACCGTCCTCAAGCACGGGGGTAAAATCAAGTATCAAAAGAAGAGTAGATGGCACATGTAATTAACCCAGTTGAGCTATGCGAGGATACTACTGGGATATCTTCTTATCATGTACTTTAAAGAGTGGTATTTTCGAAAGAAATAGTCTATTCTAAGAAAGAAGATGTTATTTCCAAACAATCCAAAATAGGAATTCAAGTCTTCTAATTTTGATGGATGAAGTATAAAAATAAGATTATAGACTTTTTAGCAAGAACACCAGGTACACATAAGCTGGTTAATAGCTTCTAATTCCCCTTTTTAATATTCACATTTTCTGATGACATTCAAGAGATTGGACACCAAATATAAGATATTGCAACTAGCAGAAAACTGAATCAACATGTAAATTTTATAACTTAAGTCGTGTCGCTACGATATCTCCGTCAAATTTTAGAAATTATTTTACGTCGTCGAGTCGTCTAGCAAAACATTTAATATAAGAATTCAAAACGATCTTAATCTTAAAAATTCAATATTTCCTTATTGGGTTGAATTTTACACCACGTCTATTTTCAATTTCTCTTGATCCAATATTCTTCTTTAGCCCAAGTTTGAGTCCAATACCAGCCCAAATTCTGGAGCATAA